ATTCTCTGACTTGCCTTATACCAACTCACATGGTCCACCTCAAGCCATCTCAGCCCATCACTATTTCAAACAACGTGGGAGCAAGTAGCTCCTTCCAGCTTGTTGAAGATCAGACAGCCTCATTCCCTCTGGAATCCTGACTCAAGAGGATAAACATTCCAAACTTCAGAAAACTTTCCTTTGCAAAATGGAAAACAAAAAAAAAAAAGGAAAGAAAAGATAAATGGAAAAAAGGGAAGAAAAAAGAAGAGATAAGGAAAGATGAAAATGAAAAGAATCTGAGATGCCCATAGGAACAAAACACTTCCCAGATTCTGTATTCTCTGTGCTGTTTGCCCTCACAGACTATGCTCAGGCTGAGCCCCTGAGTCTTTTAGGCTACAACGTCTCAGGCGGTTTGTGTTCAGCTCCCCCCGCAGACTCAGGCACTGTGTCACCCAGAGCACAGAAGTACTCTGCCGAGTCGCTCCAATAGGCTGACATTTTCCTCAGGTGAAAGGAGGTTTCATTCTTCCTAAATTCAGCCTCAAAACCTTTGATGCCTGAAACAAGGCTGTTTCCAGACGTGTACTTTAGGAGAAGCTGGAGTCCTTGGTTGGGGTACCGCACGTACCAGAAGAGATACGGTGAGTAAGTGGATGTATAGTTGCACCTCAGCTCCAGGTGGGCTCCTTCAGGGACAGTGATGCCGTGCCTGTCAGGCTGGGTCACTGACTGGGCTCCGGCTCCTCCTGAAACATCAATGCTGTATCAATGAACTCAGCTAAAACAGACAGTCTCTATTCAAAGTCAGGCCAGAACAATGTTCCATGTGTGGACAAGGGACTAAAATGGAATAGTACTCACTCAGGAACAGGAGCACCTCCAGCATCAAGGTGAACACCAAGATCATGGTGGAGCAGTAAAAAGGCAGTGAACTCCTTTCTGGCAGATTCTCTACAAACGAAAGTCTGATGACGGGGGACTCGAATCAGGTTGCTCTGAGCTTGAGAAATGACAGGGGATTTAC